TTTTCAGGCGGAACAACAATGAGACAGAAGGAATCTGGTTTCTGATAACTTCTTGCAACCACGCGCCAGCCCTTTCTTGACTCTCCCAAACGCCTTTCATATGAGAAAGTAACTTTGTTTTTGCCATTCTTATTTGGGTTTTTCTGTGCTCTTACATTATTATTAGAAAACCCCTAATGCCTAATAACTTAGTGAAAAAATACTATAGAAAAACTTATTCAGCATATCTTGGGGGCAGGGGCTGAGAATGTGCATTTGATAGGCTCCCAGGGAAATTGATGTAAACTAAAGTTGGAGGTTGGATGCTTATGAATCAACCCCTATTATTGTTGTTCTTTAGTAACACGCATTCTCCAAAAATAGGGGAGCAAGAGATGTGGACATAAAAGGAAAGGACCATCTTTAGTGTGCTTTTATATAGGTGACCTTCTTTGATCCTTTATTGCTTAAGGGTTCCAATGTGAAACTAATTTGGTAGTAAAAATTCCTGCTGAAAGGAAATCATCAGATGAACTGGACCAGTGCCTGTGAGTTTATGGCTATGTGGGGACTAGAATTTTGGTTTCTGACTCCCATCTCTCTGACCTCCGGTTTCTGCTGCTTCCCTGCAATCTTCTGAAAAGCTATTTTCCCCCCACAGGATCACAGGTGAAAATCCCCCAGCCTAGCCACAGGGTGTGAGATGGCAGCTGTTAGGCAGTATGACCATGGTTTTGATACAGGGAAGTAAAATGTGTCCAATCAAAACAGCAAGGGGTAATCTAGGTCAGCAGCCTGTCCACATAGGTGGTTGGAGCCACAAAGGAGTCCAAGTCATCCCACGTGATGTATGTCACAGTTTGGAAGGTCAACTCCCTGTTCCACCTCACCTAAATCATTGCCAGGATATGGTGATTTCAAGTGGAGCATGTCTGTGTCCTAGACCTTTCCAAGCTATTTATTCAGCAACAATGCATTGGAGGAACTGGCTTCACCACTCTCCACCAAAATGGTTTGTTAACTATGGACGCTATGTTAATGATAATACTGTAAATGGGGAGGCAGAAGGTAAACAGTGTTTAAAATGTTGCACAGATTATAAACAACAAACAAAAGGAGAAAATACAACCCAACAATTAACTGTAAAAAAAAACCACAATGGCACTTGGTAAGTAAACATGTACACTTTCTAATATTGGAACAGGGTGAAGATCAGAGGTGGGGGTTAATAAAACCTACTTTGGGGGGCTTGGTTTTCTTTCTACCATCTTGCTTTCTGGCAGTGAGCTTCCGGTTACTCTTGGAAAAGAGTCTATTCCAAAAGTAACTTCCTTATTCTCTCTTCCCCTAGCATCACAGGACCTGCCTTTCAATATTGTCATTATTAATTTCAGTAAAATATATATGCCACGACTGCTTTAGAATACTTATCAATACTGCCAGTCAAAGCAACTGCTAGGGGGCCTGGACCATATACCTGTCCAGACTTGTCTTTTTCCCAGAGCTCACTATCCAAAACATCCCCAAGGACACTGTGTCCTTCAATTCCATTACAGAAAGTTCTGGGGCCACTAACTCTACAAGGATCGATTGCTTTACATATTTCTGCTTGCAAAATAAGCTTAGGTGCATTTAATTTATGGTGGAATTTGGTGGCCTTTTTTTTTGTATGGGTGTTGTATGTCCATCATGTGCCTCTGACTGATGGAAAGACGTGGAAGCAGGGTTGCTGCATTGTACAATTTCAGAGGGTGACATTCACATAATGGTCTGTGTTGTTTTAATGAGTTGTGCAGTGCACAACCTGGGCAGCCTTGGGTAGTGGCCCTGATTGCTGAAGTCATCAGACCAGCCCCAGGGGGAGCTTGGGTGTGTGCTGTTGGAAGAAGGCTGACAATATAGACTTCAAGAGCAGTGGTAGAGGACATCAGGCTGGAGTGGGGCAGAGTTCACTCTGTGATTATAGGGCAAGATTTCTATCACTTGCCAAGCTTTAAAAGAGGCTGGTGAAGGAGATATTAGGGCCCTGCTTCCTGGGAGGTTCCATGTTTGGGGTGTGGTTGACTTCAAACCCCAAAGTGGGATGGGCAGTAACCAGCAAAGGTACATACATTTACCAACCTACAACTTCTCGGAAGGTGTGTCAGCCCTCACTAGACAGGGAGGGAGGGAGTAGATGTCGTAGTTTTAATCTAGTAGCCTCTTAATATTTGGGCAGAACTGGCTTTTTCTGCAACCCAAAAGCTTTACAGTATACATGCTTCGTGGGAGGAGTTCTTTTCTGCCAGCAGAGTGTTCAAGATAGCACTCACCTGCAACCAACTGGAAATCCCTTTGAAGATCCTAAGCAGGGCTACTGAGTTAATATCATGGTTATCTGGGCCAGTTTTTGGGTCCAGAATGTTTCCCAGGAGTGAAGCCCTGAGCTGGGTGCCCTGGGTTTCTGAGTAGTCAACTGATCCAAGAGAATTGTTTTTCCCCTTCTTTTCCCATGCTCCTAGTTCTAACTGCCTGACTGAGGTCTACAGTAATCATCCTACCTTCAGCCCAGCCCAAACCTATCACCCATGCTTGATTTAGCTTTAAAAGATAAGTCTGATCTAGCAGCACCCTGACGGGGGCTCAGGCATACCTCCTCCCTCTCGAACTCAGCACAGGTTCCTCGATTCTTTCATGCACACACCTACTTCAAGGCTAAAGACACTTGTAAAGAAGTGCTTTGCCTGGAATTTGTTAATAAGGAACTGACATTTTTGAAAATCTCATAGGAGCCCGCACTTTACATGTATCTTAGATCATTTAACAACCTAGAAAGGGAGGAGTTGGAGGCTTTAGGGGTGATACCCACAGTTACACAACTAGGAAGTAGTAGAGCTTTGATTCAAATTCCAACTGTTTGATTGTAAAGATGGTCCTCTTTTTTCCAAGTCATGGATGCTCTTTTAGTCACTAAGAATTGGTAGTTCCAAAAGACTCTCAGCCATCTTCTGGGCACTCAACATTTATTTGTTAATTCAATAAATATGTCCTGAGTCTGGTCTATGCTAGGCCTTTGGCTGGCTACCGGGGACACAAAGATAAATCAGACACAACCTCTGCCCTCAAGAAACAAAGCCACTGACAACCAGCAGTAATTAAAAAAGAGGAATTTACAAGAGAGAGGGGCAGTCAGGGAAAACCATCTTGGAGGAAATGATATCTAAGTGAACCAGCTAAGTCTCAAGGTATGTTCAGTTGTGGGGCATGAACAATAAAGTAAGACTCACACCCTACACTCAAAGAACTTGCAGTATAAGAGCAGAGACAACACTCATCCTCATGCACAATAAAAGACAATAAAATCATGGAGTAAGACCCCAAACAGGTGTTCTACACCTAAGTGTTGGAGAATTGAGAATCTGAGATAGCAGAAATTAGGGCCATTGAGGGAAGACTGTAGGAATGAAATGGAAGCTTCCTCTGCTCATAAGATTAGCCTTAAAAATCTTTAATTTCTCTTTTTTCCTTAATCTTGCTATGTCAGTTCTGGCTCTATTCCCCCCACTCCGCCCCCACCCCACCCCCATTTTTCATTTCCTACTAAAGGAACATTCACTATACCACATCTTTAGAGCTTGTGCTGAGACCAAGGCATTACCCTAGTCCCTGGTAGTGATCATAGTAGTAGGGGATGTACAAAGATCAACAAGACCTGGGACCCTTGAACAGACAGTGAGTAACCTAAATGACACAAATCTGAGAGATGTGAACGTCAAACACAAACCAGATAGAATGAAATAATTCAAATAAAGGGGACTATGATTCAGGAAAGATTTCATTGTAGCTGGTTTGTTCATTTATTTCTTCAGCATTAAATCACTAATGTTTCCTATCCCCAAAATTCCTCTAAGGGCCCACAGATGAGCACAGGTCTGGGAGATATACCACCATTACAATATAATGTGACATCCAACAAAGAGCTGCACATCGGGTCTTGGATGCTCATAAAAAAGAATTCAGAAGACAGTTGGTAGCTTTCCAACTAATTCCTAAAACGAATTAGGAATTCACCAAATGGAGAAGAGAGGGAAAAGAGCATGTAAAAAGGCACAGAATATTTGGAACTGCCTGACGTGGGGCGGAGGAAGATGGGGTGTTAAGAAATATTGCCTACACAGTGGAATGAATTTGGCTTTTTTCATCGAGGCAGTGGGGAGCCATTGACAAGATATAAGTAGGACAGGGCCATACAATTTTCGTTGTACATGTCTCCCAGGTACACCGGGCAGGGTGCACTGGAACAGGATGGAGATGGGTGCTCAGCCACAGACGCCTGACGCAGCTGGATCTTTGTGCCTGAGAAACTGCACCAGACCAGACGCCAAAACGAGCTAAAGAAGTAGGGGGTGGGGATGGGAGCGGGGGCGGGGGGGGGGCTGGATAAAAGGTGAAGAGAGAGTTCCGCGTGAGGTCTGCATTCAGGACAAGGACGTACGCAGTTCTAAGCACCGGCACAGCTGCTGGGAAGACCCGCCTCTCCTTCCAGATCCCTCTGGGGCGGAGCTGGGGCTCCAGCACGTGACGCCTGGGGAACCACTTTTACTGCGGGCAGTCCTCCCGTTCACAGGCGGTTTCACGGGTCGCCACTCTAATCCCCAAGATGTTGCTTTTCTATAGTGTTCGGACAATCCATCCTCTTGCGCGCTTCCCTCTCTGCTCCTCCTAGAAAGCGTAGTTATGGAAGATAAACGGCGAAGGAGTCCTTTGCCCACACTAAAGATGGCGACGCGCTGCGCTCCTCCTGGTCGGGAGGAGCGGGCTCCAAACGCCAGGCCTCACTGGGCGAGGCGCAGACGGAAGGGGCGTCTGTCGAGGTAACTTTTCGACCTTCCTGGGTGGGGACCTGCCTCTGGGGGCGTGGCCTGGTCTAGATTCTAACAACCGATTGGTCCAGAGGCAGGTAGGAGGGGTGTCCACCGCACCCCACCCCTCCCTCTTCGAACCGGAAGTGTCTCTCGGTCTTTCCAGCTGGTTGTCATTTCACTCGGCTCGGTCCTGAGGAGAAGGACTCAGCCGCGGCTGCGGGACCCGGGCACCGGGAGGCGGTGGCGGCGGCGGCGGCGGCGGCAGCGGCGACAGCAGAGGAGGAAGAGGAGGACGACGGGGAGAAGAAGTCGAGCCGGGCGGAGTCCGCGACAGCGACGGCGGGGGCTGCGGGACCGGGGCACAGCGACGGAGCGGCGGCGACGGCGGCCCAGCAACCGTGAGGAGAAACAAAAGCCTTCTAAATTAGAGTTTCGTTAAAAATCGGGGGGAACGAGCGAGCGCAAAGGGGAGAGGCCCTTCTCGTTCAGAGTCACTAGCCTAGTGGGTTTTTCCTTTTTATTTTTTCCTCTTTTTTTTTGCCCCCCCTGCGGAGAATCGAACTGAGGGAACTGAACAAACCGCCCCCGGGTCCCATGAGGGAGAAAAACCCCGGAGCCGCAGAGAGGGGACGAGGCCGAAGCCGCAGGACCGTCCAGCGCGCCCCCCTGGCCCCCGCACCCCGGGGCCGCCAGCTCGCCCCGAACGGGTCTCGCTAACCCCTCCTGGCCGTCCCCCCCGCCAGAGGGAGAAACGGGTGTTTCCAACCCATTTCATGGGGGAGAGGAGGCCAGGGGCAGCCCAGGAGCAGCGACCGCGGCGAGATCTGCACCCGGAGCCTCGGGAAGCAACTGAGAGGCCAGAGCTGCACCCCGTGAGAGAGCAGAAACAGGACCCGGCGCAGCAGCAGCCTCCCTGCAGTCACCCTTCCATTAGGCAGAGCTGATCTCCTCTCCCGCAACCAGGAACTCACCTCCACCCCAGATAACCTAATATAATCTATCTATATATAAATATATATAATATATAATGTTCTTAAATTATTCCTGATTTTTTTTTTACCCAAGCTGCCAAGAAAAGAACGTATTCTCTCCCTTTAGCCCTATTCTAATTTTTATGTGAGTGAATCTAAACTGCTGAGGAAGACCATATGTGATTGTTAAATTATATATATATATATATATATATATATATATTTTTACTCCGCGCAATGCTTATTCTTCTACATCCATAGATGCTTGAGAAGCTGTGTTTTTGTCATTCATGTACATTTTTCCTTTGGAAAAAGAAAGCGCCTATTTTACTAACCAAAGACTTGATTTTTACCCTCTTCGTTTTTATTCCCGCCTAGAAATAAGCCCAGTTGGATTCATGTCAATGTTTTAAGAGATTTTTTTTTTTTAGTGTATTTTTTTGCCTTTCTGAGACCAGAATTCCAAATCAGAACTATTTAGGGTGATAAGCTGCAATCTTTGAGCTAGCTATAAATAAGACATTTCAAACCAACAAACATTTTGAGTAGAGGATAAGAAGGCGTGAGACATCAGGTTGTCATTTTTTATTGTGAGATTCTGATCCTAAAAATAATAAATGGGGGATTACGGGTTTGGAGTGCTAGTGCAAAGCAATACTGGGAATAAATCTGCTTTTCCAGTCAGATTCCATCCACATCTGCAGCCTCCACACCATCACCAAAATGCCACCCCCAGCCCTGCTGCTTTTATAAATAATAACACAGCTGCCAATGGCAGCAGTGCCGGGTCAGCTTGGCTCTTTCCTGCTCCAGCGACCCATAATATTCAGGATGAGATCTTGGGGTCAGAAAAGGCAAAAAGTCAGCAACAGGAACAGCAAGACCCTCTAGAAAAGCAACAGCTCTCGCCCAGCCCAGGTCAGGAAGCTGGAATACTGCCTGAAACTGAGAAGACGAAATCGGAAGAAAATCAAGGGGACAATTCTTCCGAAAATGGCAATGGGAAGGAGAAAATAAGAATCGAATCCCCTGTGTTGACAGGGTTTGATTATCAAGAAGCCACGGGGCTAGGTACTTCGACCCAACCCTTGACATCTAGTGCATCGTCTCTTACTGGTTTCAGTAACTGGTCAGCCGCGATAGCTCCTTCTTCCTCTACAATCATCAATGAAGATGCAAGTTTCTTTCACCAGGGAGGGGTCCCTGCTGCTTCGGCTAATAACGGTGCTCTGTTGTTTCAAAATTTTCCCCATCATGTCAGCCCTGGCTTCGGAGGCAGCTTCTCCCCTCAGATCGGGCCTCTGTCACAGCACCACCCTCACCACCCTCATTTCCAGCATCATCACAGCCAGCATCAGCAGCAAAGGAGGTCTCCTGCCAGTCCCCATCCCCCACCTTTCACACATAGAAATGCTGCTTTTAACCAGCTGCCTCACTTGGCGAATAATCTTAACAAACCGCCCTCTCCATGGAGCAGCTACCAGAGCCCCTCTCCAACACCATCTTCTTCCTGGAGCCCGGGAGGTGGCGGATACGGTGGCTGGGGAGGTTCCCAAGGCCGAGATCACCGCAGAGGGCTGAATGGAGGAATAACGCCCCTGAACTCCATCTCGCCTTTGAAGAAAAATTTTGCAAGCAATCATATTCAGCTCCAGAAGTACGCTCGCCCCAGCTCTGCCTTTGCGCCTAAATCCTGGATGGAAGATAGCTTGAACAGGGCTGACAACATTTTTCCTTTTCCGGTAAGATTATGTTCCATTAATAGATTAAGATGAATAAGGAAATGGCATGGTGTAATAGCTATTTAACTAAGAGATTTTGAATTGTCCACATTCCTATTGGAGCTCCTCTTAGAAAAATGAGTTAATTGCCAGATATTGTTTTGTCAGGGAAGGAGTGTAATTTGGAGCAAAATACTGAGCTGTTCCTTTGGTGAATTTCTCATTGCAATCTTTCCATAAATCGTATGAATTGGTATAATTATGAATACCAGGTAGCTAGTGATGTCATAATTACTAACCATAATACTCTTTTAGCCTGACAAGCGAATCAGGGTTGGTTTTTCTCTACTCATTTAGGTGAGAATAAATAAAAACATAGATAAAAATTGTGGACACTGATGAGCATTTTCTGCCCATATACAGTAACTCCATAAGCTGAAACACTTCTGTCTCCACTATAAAGTAGCGACTTATTGAAAACCAACTACTGAATTATAATTTTCTCACTGGTCACATCTGGAATCTTTCTGAACCTTACAATCTGAACAAGTGTGAATTTTTCAATTCTGCAACTCCTCTTAAACCTTTTCTAAAATTCTGGCCTGCCTTGGGTCAGCAAAGACTGCTAGAGCAATGATGGAAATGTTTTCCTCATCCCCATTTATTTTTGAGTACAGTAGAACTGTTGATCTCAGAGTAACTGTTTTATGATGCCTTTCACCCATTTGTTTATTTTCCAGTGTTAACACTAGGGGTGTAGATAATTAAACTGTTTCTAAAAATAGATCTAGGCAAAGATCACTTGTCTTTCTTGCTGGCCACTATGATACCCTTGTTCTATAAGTGTCACACTGTTTGATTTTTCTGTACAACGAACAGCCAGTTCAGTTGATAGATAGGAGATAAATGGAATTTCATAATTAATTAACTTTAGATGCCCAACTAAAATTGTTTACTTTGGGGGTATGTCCTTGTATGTGTTAGGAAATTCATATAGGATAAATAAGCTAACATTGAATCAGTCTTTACAATAACCCCACGAGGTAAATTCTGTTATTATCCCCATTTTACAGATGAGAAAATTGAGTATCAGAAAGATACAATAACCTGAGAACACAGCCAATAGTAGTACAAACTCTAGGTTAAAAAAAAAAAGGATTAAAAATATCCGTGTCATCGTGTATGCATGTGCTACTAATATAGGGTTATTTTAGAGCTCTTTCAGCAAGGGCTAAAACAGATTACAAAATAGTTGCGTGTCCCCAAATATGATGTCAGCACAAGCAAAATTATCTGTTGTAATTAATTATTTGCTTAACAGGAGGGGATGTTCGCTAAGAGAGTCCTGTGTCATTCCATGGAATTAAATATCCCTTCCCTAAGGATTCAGATTTAATGTTCAGGGTGTATCTTAAAATATTTGATTTATTAGTTTTAGAATTTTAAAAATAATTTTTAACTTAAGTGTCAGAAAGCTGTTGGCTTTTGCATTTAGAAATGGTTATTACTGAGACTGATGAGCAATTACCTTGCTTTAGTGGTCAGGAAAAAGGCCATTTGAGATAATCTTATGAAGTCTGTTTTTTTAAAGTTGCTTTGGATATTCCTTTGAACATAAATTTAAAGGAAATTGAAAGCAAAGGTAATTGTTATGAATAATTAATATGCTGGCAGTTTAAAAAAAGCTTAGATGGTATTCTGTACATTTTAACTGGATCAAGTTTTGGCTCAGAATTGAAGAGAGTTTTCTTTCTTATTTTGCTGCTAGGCACTGACACAATGAACTTACATGACTTCATGGTTTGTTGTCCATTCTCAGTTTACCCACTTTTGGTATAGGTTTGCTTCAGGAAAAATTGCAGTTTCAGAAAATGAATAGACTGTCCATATTCAAATTACTCATATTTTTATGGGTTTCTGGAATGTGTTTAACCTGTGAAATATTTTCAGTCAGACAGTTTCTTTAAAGGTTAATCTGGTTTATGAAATAGTAATAAAATAGATTAAGATCCATAGTTAAAGGTATTGTTAGAAAGTAACTCGTCCTTAGAATTATTTTTTGTGCTGGTTATGAAAAAAAGATGAGTCAATGTACCTGACTCAAATATGGTAGGATTAGAAAATTGTTGATTTCTGCTCAAAAACATGTGTGTGTGTGTGTGTGTGAGAGAGAGAGAGAGAGAGAGAGATTGAGAGAGAGAAGGAGAGAGAGAAGGAGAGAGAGAGAAAGGGGTTATGCTGAGAGCAAGCAGCATTGGGGTGATTTGAAAGTTACAATAGAAGTAAGTGATTTGCGAAAACCTTTATGACAAGAAATTCCTAATTGGGTTTTGAAAAAAATCATAAGAAATTAATCAACTGACTACATGGTACTTATTTAAATGAATGCGGTTTTATGTTTTTTTAAACAATTATTCTTTTGAGTTGGTTTTTTGGCAAGAAAACATTTTGAGTTGATATGAATGGCTTGGTTAAATTTGATATGAAAAACTTGAAGGAACATACATTAGAGTATATTTGACAGAGAGCGAGGAGAACTAGTTTGTGGTCTTGACTTTATCCAGTATCAAAGAATTTGGGGGCCTCAATTTCAATTGTTGTTAGAAAAACTTAAGTGTTATGGGAAGATCTTGAGATAGGAATTATCAAGAAATTATTCACACACAAGACATAACTCTTGATCATTATACTGGGTCCTCTTCACAAAGACATTATACAGGTGAGAGTGTGGGAGAACCTCCCAAAAGCATGCAAGATGAGAAGAAACTGTGAATAATTGATACATGATGATCAGAAGCTGATTTAAAGTTTTGAAAGTGGAAAAGAAGTGAATATATTTATCACTTCTAAGTAGTCAATACTTTTCTTGGTTGTTGCCTTTAGTATTTTATACACACACACACACACACACACACACACTACTGAGCTAGTGCTTTCACATGTTATCTCACTGCCTATATAGTATTTCTCAACCCTCTGCATAAAGCTTGGTTTTATTGTGCCAGTTTCAAAATGAAGAAAGAAGGTCTACATTCATGTGACTAAAGGTTTGATTTGACCCTTACATTAAGGGAAGAAAAACCCTGCACATCTTGCCAGATATATCCTGGAATACTGATTCCAAACCAAATAATATATTGGGGCACCTGCCAATAATTATATTTGAGTATAGCAAGTCCTTGGAGCAATGCCGCTGTCTTTACAGGAAATTAAGAATTTGTGTAGTATATATTCTGATACCCTCTTATCTGCAGCTCCCAACTCTGGCTCCCATCCTGGCTAAGAACCAGGAAGTAGGAAAAATAAAAGGGACAAAATCTGTGTGTCATAAAACCAATCCTAAAATTTGATTGAGAGGGGAAAATTTTATAACTTTGAGCCTACTTGTTCCTACTTTAGACACAGTCATTGTGGATATGTAAAATTGTCTTAACCAGGCAAATCCTTCATGCCTCTTCAATAACTCTACTTGTGTTGTTAGTTTTGATCTTTAAAATTATGTATGGCATCTTATATTTGTAAACAAAGTTACTGTATTGCTTAAATTCTGAAAGTCATGGTGAATTATTAAAAACTGTCTAAAGTGCAACCTCATTACATTCTTTGTTTCTTAATATAGTCCCAAGAGGGATCTTTGCATAGCAAACATTTTCTTTGACTTTTTTCTTGACAAAACTCACTGCGTTTTTTATTTAATTGTTCAAACAAAATTGTTCTTGTAGAAAAAGAAGGCATATTTTTATCATGATTTATAGCAATGTGTCATTTTTAACTCAAATTGAGTGTATATTCTCATCACATTTTGAATTATTGAAATGGAAGTTCCACTTTCAAGTTTTTAGAAAATACTTAGTAGATAGGAAGATAAAGATGTAGATTCTATTTTTAGTCAGTTTTTGAAGGTGAAACTTGAAAGGCTATTTTCAAGGCCAAAAATGTAGTGGAGTGAACCATAGGCTCTGGATCCAAACAGACTTAATTTGGACTCTGCATTTTAATTAGCTGTGTGACCTTGAGCAAATTCCTCATCAAGATAATAATACCTAACAGTTGAAGGGCTATTGGGAGGTACCATAAGTATATGGCCATATCTGGTAGCTTACATTTTTTTAAAAAAAAGATTTATTTATTATACAAGAAGTGGGGTACAGGTCAGAGGCGCGGGAGGGTGAGAGAATTCACCAGAGACAGAGCGGGGAGCAGAACAGGCAGATGGACCAAAGACACTGCTGACGGGAGCAGTGGGCGAGGCAGGAGATGTCTGCTGCACCATGTGCGTTTCTCCCTGTCCATCCGGGAATCGAACCCACACTGCTGCGGACAGCTTCACAGCACGGCGCTCAACCCGCTGCACCACCAAGGAAGCCCTTTTTTTTTTTTTTAATTTAAAATATAACTCTAATATTGAATAAAATCATGAAATTAATTACAAATATAGTATGAGCGTCTATCAAAGATTTGAACAGTCCTTTCTTTTGCTGATCTTCTTATGCATACTTTGTTTCTCTGGAATACTCCTTTGAATAAGGTAGATACAACCCAAACACAGATACAACAATTAGCAGAGTTATCAATTTTCTTGAAGTTTTATAATTGTATGTATAACTAAATATTCATTAGTATTAGCGGCCTGTATCTTTCAGCATTTTGAAAAATGTTGCTTCTAGTTGTTATTTTAAGAAATTTAGAACTTTTAATTACTTTTGTATACTTTAAAGGAGACTATATTTTATTGGTGATTTCCTTGGTAAGAAATGAAAAAGGTACCATAGATTTGAATTGGACATATTTTAGCTTTTATCCTGGAAATAAGTTTTCTTTTTTATATTTTCATTAACTTAGCATATATTTATTGAGTACCTACTGCATTCTAGTATAGGTACAGAACTAAAGATCCTATAAAAATTGTTTTGATTTGATTTATAGTGTGTTTATGATCTAGTCTTTGACTGATACAGCTTTGCATTTTTTTCTTATTATAAGCAAATTGGCAACAGACCCAATAATTTCATTTCATTGTA